ATTTATACAATTAACCTCCCTGTGGTTCGACCCCGGTCTTGCCGGATTATTTATTAGTTCAACACTCCTGCACTTGAGAGAAGACATCAATCTTTTAGGGAGGGAAAAAAGGAGATTATAATGAGCAATGCTCATTATCATTACCACTAAGTCGAGAGAGAGAGAGGGGGGGCAAAAAAAGGAGATTATAATGAGCAATGATACATTGTACAAGTTTAGTGAAAAGGAGATTATAATGAGCAATGCTACCTTGTACAAGTTTAGTGATGCTACAAACCATTATTTATACATGGATCAAATCTTTTTTTATCTAAACCTGGAGCTGGAATCTCCTTTTTGTTAAATAAAGAACAGAAAAAGAAGAAGACTGCTGTAAGAACTGAATATATATAATTTGAAAACTGAGGTAATGAGGCAAAGAAGACTCTGTATCCTGAAAAAAATGTAGCATATTCACTGATGCAAAAGGTCTAAAGCTTTTACCAGAGTGGGTCTAAACCTATTCACATCTAGGGTTACGTTTTGCTGACGTAAATATATTGACTCAACTGCAGACCAGCCCTGTTTCCAAATTGCAGAGGGATCCCTCAAAACTACATGGTCTGCTGGGTATTGCTGTATCAAAGTGCTCTCTTCTACTCTGATTTTGTAGCCCAAGTATCTTATGTTCATCCCCTTTGCAGGCTCTTCGAAGTAAGTTCTTGACAGCCATTCTGTTCCTCCGAAGGGAATTACTTGGACTAGCACTGCATTTTCAGGAAGGAAAACAATGTTGGTTAGACCAGCACCATGAACTCCCATCACCACATCGCAGGAATTAATAATCTGTGCAAATCCTGATACATCTGCATCAGGTTCCGCTACGACTACCCTGTATCCCAATCTTTTAGCCATGGTAACTATTTCACCAACATTTGTAAAAGCTCGCGATCTCTTTCTGGAAATGATTAGAAGCCTTGGCCTTTTCTTTGAACCGTTCCTGATTTTAGTTGCCATTGTTTTCTTTAAAGAGTAGGAACTTCTTAGAAACTTCCTGAAGTCCTTCATGGAATATGGAGAACATGAAGGATCAGGTTCAATACTGAGCTCCTTGTTGGTTTGACGTTTGAGGCCGACTGTCATACTATCGTAGCAATGTATATCTTGGCTGTTATCAATGCTGATCAGCTGATATCTAGAGAGCGCTTTCATTATTGTTTTGAACTTGCAAATCCACGCAGGCCAACCGTTGGTAATAAGAAATTGTACTTCTCCATTGTAGGGTCTAGATGTCAAGAACAGAGGAAGAATTACGTCAGTGAAGGCATGAAAATGGTTTCCTGCATATCCTCCAGCCGAAAAAAGGATTGCCGGAACACTATGATTTTGAGTGCATCGAGGGATATCTGAGGCACCGGTCACAAGTTTTACTGTCCATTCCCTAACCGCACCCATTGCAGCTTGGTCACCTTTTCGCGCATAAGGCCTAATACTCCATGAAGTATTCTCTGCTGTCAGGATGTCAGTTTCAGATGAGACTATAAAAACAGTGTAGGATTTTCCATCAATCCTGATGTCCCCTTTAATCTCGCAGAAATCTGATCTACCCATAAGAGTGCATAGAGGCTCGATTGTGTTCTTTGTTACAACATCTGCATCTTCAAAAATTAATCAACATTATCAGAATTAAGTCAGGGAGCTATGAGCTTTCATCATGTGATGTTGGTTGACTCTGTTCACATCCTCAATGATTCAGATTTTTTAAAGCAATTAGAAATTTATTTCTAAGAAATGATCCCAAGTGCTCACCTGCTGCTTTTGGAAGAGAGCTGTTTGTATTGTTGACCATATAAATATCCTTTTCTGCAAAAAACTAAATAAATCATGGAAGAATATACCAACTTTCTTGAGCTCATCATTGCATAGCTAACCGCTGTATTGACATAATTAATCATCACTCTGTTAAAACACACCTTTGACTAACGGTGGGGAGTTGCTTGTATCATTGATTTTCATGTTCTGTGTATGACTTTCTGCATTAAAATCAAGAAAAAAAATATTAAGTGGAATTGTAATATTTTTGGAATAATTTTTCATGTTAAAATATATGTTGTAATATTTTTGGAATAATTTTTCATGTTAAAATATATGTTATTAATATTTTTTATTTTAAAAAAATTATTTTTAATATCAACACATAAAATGATTTGAAAATACTAAAAACATATTAATTTAAAATAAATAAATAAAATTTAAATTTTTTTAAAATATTTTTAAAACAAAAAAAAAATAAGTACTAAGTTGAATGCAATGTAACTTGCTTGAGATTAAACTCAGGTTGACCAACTGAGGTGATCTTTTACTAGCTGATTTATTTTATTTTTCTCTTAAAAAATAGAGAAACTTACCCTTAAATTCCTTCTGAGATCTGCTTGTAGCATTGTCAATTGAGGTACTATTCATTATAATTTCAGCATCTTCAAAAATCAGTTAAATGGACAATTAATGGACGACTGATGTGATAAATATAGCTGCTTTTCTCAGAAGAAAACACGTAAAAGAAAAATTTACCCCGAATTTCTGATTCTCCATGAGAGCTGTCTGTATCATTGACAATTAATGTACTCATCATAATTTCTGCTTTTTCATGCGAGCTGCTTGTATCTTTGACAGTTGAACTGCTGCTGCCTAGAGTTTCTGCATCATCAGAAATCAACATTAATTGACATAGACTAAATATAACAAAAAAATAATAATTATGTAAACAAAAATATTAGATATATTATAAACTTTATTTGGATTACATAGCCCGTTGCTGACACAACCGAATTGAGCTAGGCAGTCCCTAGCTCCAGAACATTTTTGTGGATCAAAGCTTACCGTTGGCTATCAGCAAAGAGCTGTCTGTATCACTAAAAGGATGAAGCTTCTCATCTTCTTCCATTGATAACCTCAAATTCACTGCATGATCCATATAGGTTAAAGAGGGATAGCAACAAGTGTATATAGCAGACTGAATAATGAATGACTTACAAACTGATAGAGGGCCCAAGAAAGGCTTAAAGTTGGTGAAGAAACTCAATGCAATGAACAGGCAAGCAACCAATGCCCAGGATCCCAACTTCTTCTGCTCTTGCTTGCTAAAGCTTCTACCAAGTACAGAATCGTACATTTTCACTAACCTAAGCAAGACCTTCCAAGCATCTGTAGCTCATTCTTCTGTATACGCGTATATGGCGATGAACAAGATTTAAAACCTTTGTTCAAAGAAGAAGTTGTGCGTCTTAAGCTTCTAAACCCAGTTGTCAAGCACTCTATTTTTCCAGAATGGATGTGGGAAGCAAGATTTTGAAGGCATTACGAATGTCAATAGGAGACGATGGGGCTTAATATTTATATAGATTTGAAAACTATTGCACCTCACGCATATATTCTGTTAGCTCGAGGAAGATTGTCCAATTGCATGAAATTATGGGCAGTTGAAAGGGACATCGTTGACTGTAGTGACAAACTTCTCTTTTCGTGATTAGGTAATGTTCTTGCATGTTCTTGAAATTATAATTAAAACTCCGTCCTTGGATTGCAGCTTAATTTGAAAGGTATAATGCAAATTGATTTAGCTCGCACGCCATTTAACACAAATAAAAGGGTGATTATTACATTAAATACAATCAAGATTTACTGAATTTAATCACTCTTTTAATTCCTAATATTGGCCTAGCTAGTAATATATATATATATTACGTATTTTTCTTATTTACAAAGTAGAGATTTAAACATGGAAAAAAAGAGAGAATTTTTGACTATGTTTGGAATTGAAATCTAAATAAAATTTCTTAAAAAAATATATTTTTATATTTTTTAATCTAAATTATATAGAAAATAATTTTAATGAATGCCTCAACATGTAATTATAACAAAAATAATGATCGTGGGAGGGTTGGAATCAATAAGAATATGTTTGGAATTGAAATCTAAATAAAATTTCATAAAAAAAATATTTTTATATTTTTTAATCGTAAATTATATAGAAAATAATTTTAATGAAGGCCTCAACAGGTAATTATAACAAAAATAATGATGATGGGAGGGTTGGAATCAATAAGAATTTAACAAAATCATTTCTAAAAAATGTTTATATTTATATTTAGTACCAAATCACCAAACACATGATTATTTCAAGAAATCAGGAAATTAGGTTTTTTTTTTTTTAATCAAAACAGCTAGGTTTATACGCGGAAGCACATTTTTCAACCGACAACTGAGTCGACTCACAGTATTTGATCAATTAGCGAGGAAAGCTGAAGGCATAAAAAAAATAAGAAGCTTGTTAGACTGGATAAGACATGTTAACAATCAACATGCATGGTGTTGAAAGGGCAAGGGAGTATTATAGTTTTTGTGTGCTTCGAGGGAATACCTGTGCGCGCGCCATAAACTAATTATGTCTCCTTCCATTTTTTTAATTCTATTTTAATATCTTCCATCTCTTCAATTAATAAACTAATTAGTCTTCCCAAATAAAATAAAATAAATAAACTAACTAGTTGTCTCCCACGGTATACAACCACCCTTGGATTTATAGCGTTGATTTATAGCTTGATTTTAAGCCTTAAGAAATTATTTTTAATCGTTAATTTAAATATTTGTTTGGTCTAAACAAGGTATTGTATAAACTTGGTAAAAAAAAAAAAAAAAACCATGGCGCATTCAAAACGCTAAAGCCACAAGAAAGACAAACACACCATGGATATCACTCTCTCTTCCTTTCAATGCTTAGAAATGCACACGAGACCTAACTCTCTATACTTTACATTTATTTAGAATGTAAATTAATTAAGTCTTTAAGTGGTTAAGATATCGCATTCACAAATTATTGAAAAGATTATATATAAATAATAACATTATTGAATGTTCTGGGGGGTTTTTTCTAGCGTGCGTGATAGTTCATATGGAAGGAGTGTGATTAATTTTGATCTCGGAGTAAGTGCTGAAATCTTCCCATATATAATATGCTCGAAAAATGGTGTAAACAGCACCTGAGAAAGAGAGAGATCCACGGGGGACTATTTCCATCATTGATGATTTCGTGTCATTCTGAGAAAAGCATTAATTAACCCTTGTAGTGATCAAATTGAGCCAGCAAATTCGGATGATTGTGCTCCATTTTTACTTGATTAATCATAAACGTACAGTACTGTCACAATCAATCACCATGATTTCAATCACTTAACTCGCATGTGCATCCCTTGACGTTTGATTTGCAGGGATGGAGGATTATATAAGTAGTCTCGTCGAAATTAGGTTAAGTAGCCAGTATTCTTACTGCATGTCTCTATCAACTGCGTGTCTGGCTACTTACTGCTATCGCTGTCTCGAGTGATTAGTGGAATGAATATATATATATATATATAGTCCTTCCCTTCTGGAACCAAAGGAAGTTGGTTAGGTGCAATCATGCGTAGATTCCTTTCTGTTCTTCCTGTTTTCCGCCATGGATGCTTTCAAGATAACATTTTTGTGGGGGGAATCGCTGTCTATCTTAAGAATCCCATGTGGTAGAGAAAATTGGAGATGAAGCAACCAAACTCATGACAAAGGTGATCATTGGTTAGCGTCTACCAGATCTAATTGAAATAGCTTTTTGACTTTTTGCACCTGCGAATTAATCTCCTCACTTTGGAGACACTCAATTGTAAGTCGCGGAGTTGTTACCTAAAATCTCCTTTTGGCCATAGCTTGGAAATGACGAGTTTTGGAGATTTTTATCAGGGCACAGGACGGGCACAACTAATTAGTCAGCAAGAATGCTTTTTTTTTTTTTTGTTCGCAATGAAAAGATATAAAGGGATTCTCTGCTGGATCCCATTTATTCTCTTCATGATCTTCTTAATATTTGGCATTCATTATGTTTCCACAATCTCTGCATACCAATCATGTATATATATGGCAAGAATCCCTCCTGCAACGATCCCCTATTTAAAGATAAAAACAATGTCTAAAAAAACGAGTTAGTATTTTCGACATGATATGAAAGTCTTTTACCCCAATAACATCCTTCCTTATTTCAAATTGTGTCCCTTGACCCTTCTCTTGAGATTTCACTTCTAAAAACACACATACATGATATCTTCATTAAACTAGCCTTAAACAACTGTCTTGTATAGAAAGCCCAAGTCATTCCCATCTTGCATGATTGTAGTCTTCTTGGATATATAAAGAATGAGATTTCTTGTATAGTGCCAACAATCTTTGATGAAAATGATGTGTGGTTAACAAATCCTGAAGTAGTAGTTTGGTTACGCATCGATCAACTGATCCTTTGGTGGTTCAATAGTTCTCTATCTGATGGCCTCCCCTTTCAAGTTGTGAATAACAAATCTTCATATGATGTCTGACAGGTGTTGGAAATGATTAGTACTTAAAAGTGTATTTTTATCATGGTTTTATATCATCATTTTGCACTTGAAGTATCAATAACTCCTTAACCAAAGCATGTTTTATAATAATATAACTAATAATATAAGATACCTTTAATTTATGGTAAATATTCATTTCAAATGCAGGCCTATCACATAAATGAAAGGATTGATTGATGACTTGAAGAACTTAAATTGCAAGGATAAAGAGATGGCCAAACTTAGAAAAGAGATGTCGGTGCAATCCAAACCGGAACACTGTTCGGTAAATGGGTCATATCTGGAGCTATATATCTCAGATTTAGGTCCAATTTATATGGATGGAAAGGTAAGACATAGGCCTACAACTTTCATATGGAGCCCAAGATCTAAAAAGGCCATTATCAAGTCCAAATAGTAGCAACAACAAAGAAGCCCGAATCTGTCTTCCAGCCCGAGCACTGTTCGGTATTTTGGCCATATCTGGAGTTCTAGAAGTCCAAATGAGCTGAAGTTTTTACACAAGAAAGCTGAGACAATTGCCTACAACTTTCATGTTTGCAACTGGCTCCAGTTTTGACGTTATCAATGACGTTTTGGGCAGACAAGAGAAGATAAAGATTGTCACCAAGTCAAAAGTTGGCCACCCACTTATCAATTAGTCATCAAATCAATAGTTCCCATTTTTGGCCTATAAAAGGAGGCATTTGCCATGCATTTAGGCATCTTGGTGTTCAGATCAAGATCATGCTCTTCCTTTCTCTCTTTGTATTTTTTATGCTTTGTTTTCATTAATATTAAGTTTATGCCTTTCATTTCCTTTCCTTTACTTAGTTAACTTTTATGTTCTTATTTTGTTTATCTATTTTGCTTTCTTTCATTATGTCTAGCTAAGTTAATTATGTCAAGGTGAAAAGGTTACACTAATGGTGTAAGAATAAGTATAATGTAAACTTAATATGGACTTTAATGTTTGATACTAACATGTTTTATATTTGTTATCTTGTTCACTCTTTAATACTTTGCTTGTTAAATAACTAATCTTGATTTATGTTGTATAACACTTGGTACAACAAATGCTTGGCACTTTCATAGCCCATAATGTATGGTATAACCGACACCTGAGCTATGAAAGGAACTTGATTTATTGTTAACATAAGTTATAATCATGAATGCTTGACGAGATTTACAAGTATTAGCATTAATTGAATAAGATGACTAATGTAATCATGTTAACAATATATAATCTGATTGGAACCTCCTTTGTGTGTGGTTTCCAATTCAATAATAAGAGTTTATACTATACTTGTTTGATATACCATTAGTGGAACCTCTAACCTTGACATTTGTTATTATCATTGTTTAATCGTTACATTAATATTCCATCTCAAAGTTCTCATCTTCTTCTTCTTCTTCTCCTTCTTTTTCTTTATTATTATTATTATTATTATTATTA